TGATATCTTCCACAACCAGTCTAATTAGAATTAGACCATACATTCGTATCTTTATTAAATTCTATTTTTAATATATCCACTCAAGTTAGGGTCTTAAGTAAAGCCTCTTGTACACTCGTCAGTTTGATTATACCGCCAGCTAATCAAATGTCTTTCCTCTCAAAAGCTGGGATATTGTGACGCAAACAGTGCATTCAGTGTTTTAACCTTCTCGGAATAACCTTTGGTTCGAGTCACAAAGCCAATTAGACTGGTTCCACAACAATAACATTATCATTGTTTACAGTATATTAGCATTGATTTCATCTTTCAAATAATTCTGATTCTAGAACGTCTGTAGTCTTTGAACAAAAGGATTGTTTCAAGATAAAATGATCTTTCATGCATAAGAAATGCCAAAATGTAATATCCGGAAAACTTGCCAATTTCCATTTGTTAAATCAACAATGCTATAAAAGCATGTGGTGCTATAAAACACTCAATCTGTATTGTGTTATCGACCTTTAATCACCTTGATCACAATTGACAATTAGAAAGTCAATACTAATAAAGATAGATACGTATTACATTGACGATAAAGTACAGATTGGTTTCGTCAAACCCTGACTTTTTACCATCTCAAATTGACCACCAACCATACTTGGTATATCACATGCATAACAGTCTGAATAACTGATTTTTTTCAGCCGATTTTTTTAGATATTACTTATGAATAAAGTTACATATTTAACAATGGCTCAACTGGTTGAACACTAGAACATAAATGCAGGAATCGGACCCCCACTCATATAACTGAGCCACTGAAATCAAGATTGGAATAAAATATATTGCGTGAAATATACATTCTTCTTAAAAAAAAATAGTTAATGTACCACGGATTGGTGGCAGATTGGTGTTGGACTAAGACTTCCTCAAGCACTTTCCATCATACCAACAGAATGAAGAATTTAGTTTATCAGCTGAAATATCTGCATTATAATGTCTCTGGAATTTCAAAGAATTTCGGTTTCTAATGTGTAGGTGTATTTAACTAATGGGAGTTGTGAAAACCATGTAGTGCCACCAAAAAGCTGAGCAGTGCCATGTCACCCATCCCAATCACGCCACTGTTCTTAAAGCGAACTAAGTATGTAATGGCCTCAATATAGTAATAGATGTTCAAACTAGCTCTTCTTCCCTTATCCAGATACTATACGTATTTTTAAGGGACAAATTCGCCATTTTCGGGGGTTGATGTGGGTCTTGAATTCTTGTAAATAGGCTTCAGAAGTACTTAAAATGTACGAAAATCACCTAATTTATTCAAAAATACCTTGTGATAAGAATTTCACACATTCTACTTCTATATCTGTCTTTTCTATATATGGTCTAGAGAAAAGGCGAGTCGTCATTTTAACATTAAAATGCGGATAATACTGGACAAACATTGATTTGAAGGCTCAAATTTCGACGGTGAGTTAAACACTATTACTGGTTATCTTGGCTAAAAAAATTTCCCAATTCCATCAACATAAAGGAAAAAGAGAAGCAGGATTTTAGATAAGAAATTCGGGCGTTTTTAGATGTTTCTAATGGTTCATTTCACCAAAACTTTAAACGAACACTTATGTTATTTTCAGACATTAATGGACAGGTGCAATTTGTAAAAGACAGAGTTTAATGCATTAAGAATTGGAAGGTATCGTGCGTGCATGTCATTTATTTCTTGTAATTTCATTAGAACATGCAAATACCAGGAACCATCCTAGGAATCAATTCAAATTAATTCCTCTTCATCAGATTTAAATTATTTTTTATCTTTTTTCTAACGATAAGAATGTATGGGGCTTCCTCTTCATCCGTTTTACGAACTAAAAACAAATAAAGTAACTTCCAAATTTTAGGAAACAATAACAATTTCTTTCTAACGAAAGGGGGCTTCCTACTCAACCATTTTACGAATTAAAAATATTTCAAGTAAGTTTCTGTTTCTACAGGGATAATTAAGGAAACGAGTAATTTTTGCATTTGGCGACATTGGCTTACAGTTTGAGTTCCTGGTCCAAGTTAAAAAGATTCCGGAATAAGATCTGTGGCGATACTGCACAGTCTAAAGCATACATCCCCACTCCCCTCGACGACTAGCATTTGGCACAGGGAACACATCGCTTTAGTTTTATATATATCAAGAACATTCTGTTGATAGAAACTTTCATTCATGTATTTAGACGATCTCTTTGAGACTTTTCAATATATATACATATATAGCTCAAATGAATTACTTGATTGTTTTTAAGGATATTTTGACATTTGATTCATTAGAGTCACAGACTATCGTGCAATCATGTCGTATAAGTCGGAAAAGATTTCGGAATTACATTTATGTAACTCGGAATATTAAAAGAGAAATCGGAAGTCATTTTCAGAATATCCATTCATGCTTTAAATTACACGTGGAGTTAGTTACGAAATATCAAAACTAAAATTTCCGTTTTCGAGTCTATTTCTATTTCTTGAAGAAAATTATAAGAAGACAGGTTAATGGACATGTCAGAAAATAAATTAGTCTCAAACCACTCCAGTAATTATATTAGCTTTTATTGACAATATTTTGGTAAGTTCCGTGGGGCGAACAACCTCCAAGCTAAGAAACTAATGCTAGTTTAATTATGATCAATTTATATCTTTGACCACTTTGATAATCAATATAAATTACTCTATTCCAGTGGTTAGTTCTTGAGCTACAGGTTCATGATAATCAAATAAAATCGCCTCCAGTACGATCAAAACCACAATAGCTTATATATTGTAATTCGAAACATGCCACTTTAGATCTGCTATTAGTTTATTAAATATAATGGTCTAATGAAGACGGACACAGCAAAAAGGGACATTCTCAACCAATGTCAGAATTGAACCTTGGACGTTCAGATTAGCGAGCAAGCGTCTTACTCACTAAGCGATCTGGGATATCCCTTACTTCAACGAACATGATTCTGACTTCTAATTGCTCAAATTCATATCCGACCCATATAAATCCGTTAGCTACTGAGGGCCTCTGGCAAGAGACTCTCATTTTTGAAACATTTTGTGGTTAATTATGAAGAACTAATGTCAAAATAATAATACACGCCCTGTATAATCTTACATTATGAAAATTAGTTAAGGATGATTTCATCGTGTCCAAACCACATACTTTAAAAAACCTCTTCGGGATTGTCTGTGTTCAATGTGCCAAGAACTCATCCTTTAACACTACTGAAACTTTCCCTCTCAACTTTAACATCACTTTACTTAGGAAAAGAAAAACTTGTGAACCCCATTGACAATTCTTTGGCCCCTACTCGGACCCCACCTGATTCATAGAAACTCCACAGTGTCAACTACATACAAAGAAAAATTGCCACAAATTCCCTTTCAACGATGTTATTGCATTTTATTCACAATGTGAATACAAATTTGTTTTTTCCATTGGGAGTAATCGTGTTCTCTGAACTTCATTTGCTGACAAGATTTTCAAATTCTTATCAATCGTTGCTTTATTTCAAACTCTGCATTAGGACGTAAAAAAATATTTCAAATAAACCCAAACATTTTGAGGTTACTTACCCTTTACATTATGAAGGTACAGGTAAAGGCTAATGAATTATTTTATTGTATTTCCTGGATCTTATCTAAGAAAATCTTTTAACACAATTTTCTCAATATTTTGATAGACACATACGTAGGATGGTTAACTTAATTTAGTGGTGTATCAAGGAAAAGGAAATGAAGTCGTGTGCGCTCGATATTCATTTGTATAATTAATAAAGGTATACTATCTCTTAGGATGATTAAAAAATTGAAATTTTTAAACTTGGCCAAAATGAATTTTTCTTCATCAGTGGACTTTCCTGGTGCCAAAACCATACGTCAGAATCCCTCTAATCCAACAAAAAAAAAAAAAAAAAACAACACAATTCATTGAAGTAATTTAAAAAGTGTGTTTCAATAATTATTTAGTTTAATAGATACATCGTCTTATATGGAGATTCTATTCTTTAGTCATGGCGCCTGGTAAGTTCAACCGATGAATATATACTGAATACAATTGTGGACCAAGTTTGAGACATTAAATTTTATTTCCATTCTAAGAGGTAGTAGTCCTTTAATTATTTGTGTCTTATGTAATTATTGTGGTATGGTACTTCTAAGCAAAGATCGATTTTCGTATTTAGGAGAGACTCCAAACCTTCCCACTTCTTGTCGGTTTCCATTTCTAGTACAGATTTAGAAAGTAGTACTTTGAAGCTGAATGGATTCATGTTTTCAATAGATAAGTGGACAAAAATCTATAGTTCACTACTAATTATTTCCTTTGATATTACCGGTCAGTATCTTATTCTTAGATAACCTTTTTCACCTGATGATTCCAATGTAATATTGATTACTCCTTTAAAAACAATAAGTTTGATCAAGTAGATACGTCGTAGTAATTGGGATATTTTAGGAATATTGTCACATATAATCTACATGTGTTTGATAATGGAAATTTTGCTTATTGCCCCCTTAAATTAGAAGCTGTTATAATATAATATAATATCAGTGGCATGGAATTGATCTAGAGCTAATTGCCCCGTCAAGTTGATAACGACAACCCGGTAAGGTGATATCAGCAATCTGTATCACTTCTGGCATTCTGTTGTTGCACAAACCAAGAAATATACCAACTTGTGGATTGATTTAACCTGACAAAACAATAAGAATCCTTTAAAGGCAACCAATAAAACCAAACGTGTAAAAGCGCAAGTTTCTTGGCGCTCTGGATCCGGATAAAATATTCTTGGCTATTATGAATGCAGACTTTTCTATTAAAAGTATTGCAAGCAGTCTGTAATAGCACCCCTTATTCTGAATAAAACAATTACCTTTGATGAAACTATACAAGATCCCATCGAGTCATGCATTTCATCTTGAATACAAATCCTAGTTTTATATTCTTGCTTGTATATTTACTAACTTTTTTTCCTTTCCTTTTGTAGTGAAAAGTTTCACAAGAACGAACATGTTTCTATCCTTGGTTGGTATTCATCTGTACGCACTTTTCTGGGCGGTTAGTCCATTGTTTGGATGGGGACGTTATGGACCAGAGCCTTACAGAACGTCCTGTACACTCGATTGGGAAAATCCTAGTAAATCGTTTGTTATAGCAACTTTTGTGATGTGTCTTGGACTTCCGTTTTTAATTATGTTAACAACGTATGGTTTACTAATTCAACTAAGTCGCACTACAACTAAGAATATGCAACGATGGACATCCTCAGATAATGTGTGGACGCGGAAAGATCTTTACCTTCTGAAGGTATGTGATTTCTTCTTTATTTTCCTGTCCTACCCTACCCTGCGCTACCCTACCCAAATTATACCCTACCCTGTCTGACCATACCCTACCCTGTCTGACCCTATCCTATCCTATCCTATCCTATCCTATCCTATCCTATCCTATCCTATCCTATCCTATGAACAGCTAGCATGGTCATGAGTAATCATCAATTATTGCAGGATTTCGACTTCTGAAGGCCGTATTTCTTATAACAGTTATTAAATGTACATTTATTATCTGAAAACAAATAATCTTTATTATCTTTGACTAATGACAATACTGCCGTGATAATTGGCAAAATATAAATTGATTTGAACAATTTAACCAAGATTATATACTTTTATCATTCCTATTATAAGATAAATAAATAATAATTTGATATAAGCATCCCTGTCAAGGTCATAAATTGTGAAAATAGATTGTTATTTATGAAGAAACCATGGTTGCTCGCCCTTCTTCAACTATCAAAAAGTGGTCAATCTCCAGTATTATGTCGAGTAATTTGTATGGGTACCTAAATATGAAATGGTTTTACTGGGCTCAATACATAGGATGATGGTTAGAAATCGAAAAAGAGAGTTGGCCAATGCTGCAATGTTCTGGCAAAATTTCTCCGAATGCACACTGCATGGCGTTGCCCGTCTTCATTAGCCCATTAGGTGCAGAGCAGTAGGGCGTAAAACTCCATTCATTTCATTTCATTTCCAAATATCTGTCTCAAATAAATGGATTACAATAGATTGGAATTTTACTCAGAAATAGACTTGGGTCTTTATCCTTACAGCGTTAAACATTTTACATTCCTCTCATCTATTTTCTCTGTCAAAGACCAGACCTATAAGGAATATTGATGTCATTTCCAATATCCTTTAAGTTACGGTGTCGCAAAACCATTGACAAGTGAAATATTAGTTATGGTAAAAGTTGACAGTTATCTTAAGCACCGTACAGAATTAGCTTACTATCTGGTGTACGACGTTGTCAAGATATATATCGTACACCCACCCATAAATTTCAAAGTCGGCTACCATTCCATAAAGATTGATTTGTAATTAATATATCTTTTGATACATTGATCTCTTGCAGAGATATTTCTGAAATACTTTTGAATAAAAATGGATTGGAATAATACGATTTGCTCACTTTGAAGACAATCGTATAGACCTTTCAAGAAACATATTACGACTACAAGAAATTATTTTGTTTAACGTTTTGCCTGTAGAGGTAATGAAATGAGTGGAGTTTTACGTCCTATAATTTTCTGCAACTAATTGGGCTAATGGAGACGGGCAACGCCATGCAGTCTGCAATGAGAGAAATCGTTTCAGGGCAGCGGCATTGGTCTACTCTTTTTCTATTTCAGCCCATCCGACCTGCATCACTTACAGGGGGAAACCTAGTTGAAAAATGCCCATGGAGCGCTGGTAATCAGTGATCTAATTTTAATTCCAATATTGCACCTGAATCTCTCAATACAGTCAACAATTCTCGAGGACACAACGTAAACTTTAGCACACATCCTTTTTCAAAGAAACTTGTATGATGCCAATATTATAACTTCTGATTGCTGCTGCCGTAGGCGTCAGTAGCCATGTCTGAAAAGAATTTGGCAAAGTACGGAGTTTGGAGTATCTCCTTACTTACTCGACGTTGGTCGTTTGTCTACTGTATTCCCCATGTAACTTCACTTTTCTACGTGGTCTTTTATATTATGTTCAGAATCATGCTGAAACTTGTAGGCGTTAATCTTTAGGAGTACCTAAGTTAGCGTTCAAATTTTAAAGCAAATGGTAGTCTCTCTATCAATGATGTTACTAGGTTCGTGTAACTTTCCCTAAAAAATACCAATAATACATCTATATTAGGAGTCTTCAGTGCTAAGAGCTGAGAACATAAGGCAGAGAACCGACATTCACCTTTTTGGAAACAAAATGGCTGCCATAGATCAAAAGTTTTTAGCTACAAATGGATGTCTTTTGAAAGACATTCAGCTATATTCAGTTGTCCCTCGATAGATATGTTATGTAAACGATTATATTCGGCTCTGAATGCTGATTAAATTATATTACATTTATTATACAACAACGTTTAATATATGAGTAGATGTAGCACTATCTTTCGTCACTAAAATTGATAAAAACAGTAAAAGTCACATGAAGTTTGATTTCCGATCTAAAAAGCGATACAGATAGTTGAAATCAGCCAGAAAACCCAATAATCAGACGTATGTACTGTCAATAATTGTTCCTGTACGACTTATTAATTATTTATAGTCCAGATAGTCTTCTGGGATCGAAAATGTAAATAATATATAATGGGACTTTGTTTTTTATTTAACTGAGTATTCAATACTGTTGTTAAAGGAATACTACCTCTTCCGATGGACATAAAATTTAAATTCTCAGACTTGGTCAATAAGACTATAAGAGTATATATTCATCTTTTGGACTTACATCGGGATCTGTTGTATAGTTATAAGAAGACTCATTTTGGCCAAGTTTAAAAACTTTGATATTGTAGTCATGCTAAAAAGTAATATACCTCTACCCATGGACCAATACGAATACTTTTAATGTATTTACCAGTCCTTTATTAGTGTTCATAATTTAATATATTAGTACCAGTAATTATACAGAAACTCTCATGATACTCTCGAGTTTCAAAGTCAATTATCAACATATTTACATGTCCTGATTTATGAACATTATGAACTTTAGCCTGACAAATATATTATGTAAGAGCCACCATCACAATCTCAAGCTATTACGACCGGGTCTTACACCTTTACTGCAATATCCATCTTCTTGTATCACAGAAGTTTTTAAATGCACCTATCACGGAATGCAACGATCTGATTGGATTGTACGCCAGCAAATACAGCCAATCAGATGCCTCGACAGAAAAACACTTAGCCATAATGATTGCAGCCTTTCCGCGGACGGCTTTGATTGAGCTGTATTCGCCGCGTACAATCCAATCAGATCGCTGCATTCCTTGATAGGTGAAAGGTGGCTATCCAGTCAAGGTATAAGACGGGGTTCGTAATAGCTTGACATTGTGAATATTGAACATTATATATTCAGGTCTAACACAGATATGACAACTTAATAAAGATCGAATAGATCTTAAAAATAATCAAAAATCAATATCATGACAAAAGGCAGATTAAAGACATAGTCTGCCATTTATAACTTGTGCACTTTTAATAGTTTCAAACCATATTCTTTTGTGACATTGTATTTTATCTTGGCCTTGCGGAAACAGTTCGGAATTAACCTTTAATTCTATTTTTTCTATCTATTTTCAGATGACGATGATAATGTGTGGTTGCTTTCTGTTGGCTTGGTTACCGTATGCTATTGTCAGCATGTTAAAGGTTATTATTCCAGATCTGACCATGCCGGTATTGGTGACACTGATTCCAGCACTGTGTGCTAAATCTTCACATGTTCTCAATCCAGTTATCTATTTCGTTATGAACAAAAAACTGCGGTCTAAAATTCCACTGTGTTGTAGGCCTACATTCATGAAACAGAAAAAAAACGAAGAAACACGGTGTCAACTTACAGCGTCTGCCAATAATCCAACTGTGAACATGTCGTCATGCGCCAAAGACAATCATGTACGATGTTCTTCAGGGTGAAACAGCACTTTCGGTGGTGTCTTGAAAAGGGAAAGTGGTCTAAATATTTGCTTTTCCGTTTGAGCTCAATCCTTTAATCCACAGCATTTTATGGAACTAAAATCTCCAATTATCCTTCAACAATTTCCTTCAACACATCCAGGACGTTATTAGAGGAATAATACCGAATCAACATAAATTTTACTTTCTTAAACTTGGCCAGTAAGTGTATATATTCATCAGGGTTCTAACTTGGTATCATAACTATAGGGCGTACCTCTCTGTACCTTGCCTTTGTTTGAAGGATTGAAGCAGTCAAGCGTGGTAAACTAGTAGCAGTGGGGTATAACTAGGGATAACAAGCTTTCAAACAAGACTTTCACATTTATTGCATGGATTTTATTGCATTTAAAAGTTGAAACGTGACTTTCATATTTGACATACACGATATACATTTCCGTTGACATAGTAACAATACGAGAAATAACATCTGTACCTTCACTTTTATTTATTATTTACATGCAACAGATTGCAACAACATGGGGCATAGTGGGGTTCTTGCATAGTTGGTGAGATCGCTGTTCTTGTACCTGTACGTGATAAGCTTGGTCACGTCAACTAAATGGCGATTGTGGGTTCTAATATCGATCAGCGTGTGAAAGTCCCATGGTTTTGATTAAGTCATCTTCACTGATAATTCCATTAGACTGAACTATAACTGGGTAAAGAATAGATTATCCTGGAAAGTTCGAGAAGTTTGGCAATGAACAGTTGAGAGAAAGGGCCCTTAATTGTGAGTCTAAGCTAAAATATAGTTGATTCTTTTTGTCTTTGACAATGTCAACGTTGGGATAGATTTTTCAACAGATACTGTACTATGGTTTTATCGGATTATACAAAATTGTGTTGTATAGTTATGAGACCAGATAAATCCACTGATGAATATATACTCTCATTAGCAAAGATTGAAAATTTTAGTCCTTCTATAAGATACGAAAAAGTCATCGCACCCTGGAATTTACGACTATCTAAACTAATGCCTTTTTATTGAATTTCACTTGATATAGAAAATTGCTAGAATAGCTAAAATTGAGCTCTATCAAGGCAAATGCCTAGCTGACTACATCCTTTTAAGATTGAAGTGTAATTAGGTAATATCTGAAATAGTGCTAGATACTACATTTTATGTCCATGCTTATGGATTATGGAAACTTTCCTATGTTGAAAGTGAAGAGTTATCTCCCATAACATTCTTTTTTTGTGATTTCTCAAAGCTGTTAAAAGGTTTTTACATCGAATTTTGACTGAATCAAGTGAAACGGGTGTTTGATAACAAGCATACCTACTACTTTCAAGCAGGACGGTGTACCAGGATGGTGAAGCAGCAAAAGTAATTGAGTCGTCTCTACTTCGTACATCTTGTTCTAACATACTTCAATCATTTCCTTTAATATAACTCCTTCTCAAGTAGAAAGAAATGGCAGATATATATATTTTTAAATGTGAATGTTGTATATTGAGGTAACGCATATAGAGGGCTTGAGTTATTCCCCAAATAGATATACGTCTAACATGAATACAGTACAAATGATGCTTCTGTTATTTCCTTGCCCGTGGTTTGTTTTTCTTGATTCTTGGCCTGAGCTACACCTAGATTGAAAATATTCTAAAATCTGCAAAAAAGTGCCCCAAAATACACGTTTTTTTATTTTCCATTGCCCTATACGTTCAAATTCAATGGAGGAATTAGTCAAAGCCTCTCAATGCGTTACCTTATATACCCTTGAGAATAAAATAGACTGATTGTGTTCATGTTATGACCCAGATAAGCAAAAATATCTTTGCACGACTCTCTGACCAATAAAGAAATACTTTAACAGATAATAAAAAATCTTACAAGCAACACAATTCCGTTAATAAAAATCTTGTCCAAAGTATGGCAATAGAGAAGTACCATCAGGTGTGTCGAAAAGAGTAAGCATGGTCTGCTTCGCTCTCGAACATTTTTTATGTGGGTTTGAGTCTTCCTTCCTTGAGACACTGTCATATATAGAAAAGACATCTATAGAAATACGACAAGAAATTCCTTGTTTCATATATTTGTGAAGTAATTATGCGATTTTCGTATTGACATATATTCAAGAATCAAATCAACCCCCCGAAATGGCGTATCTGTCCCTTTATGCAAAATACTAAGAAATTATTTATTCCTTTATCTATTTTGCTTCAATAACGCCTTAGAAATATGTCGATCTATTGATGTCTTGAGCACTATTTTAAAAGTGAAAATATTGATATAAATGTATAAACATGTACTGCACTGCCACAAACCCACTACAATAAAACTGAAATTGATCTGTTGAAATGTTACAAATAGATATAAAATGCTATGAATGTATATGAAAATAAAATGCTATCTTTGTTGTTCCCAGTTGCTAGAAACTATATACACCAATAATATTTCTAGAAATGAAACTGAAAAATATTTTGTCCCTTTCAGATGCATGGTGATTACCCATTTTCATGTGGGCACAGGATTTGCGGGCCAACACGCACCTGACACGATTTTCGCAGGCCCGAACCGCTAAGCGAACTTATTGAAGTTTGAAAAAAAATGTATTGAAGGTCATAGTGATTGCCGCTCGAGAAAATTTGCTTTCGATATTTTTATGGTCTCGGGGGAATTTTGATAGCCGACAAAACTGATATATCCAAAAAAATTTTGAAATGCTATCGACTTTTCATGAATTTCTAATCAAAATGATTAATTCAAATAGTAACATTTAATATACGTTTTACTTCAAAGGGAAGGAACTCTTTGCAATTTTATGTGACCACTGAGGTTACTTAGGAATTTTTCTAAAACCTAATTTTATTCGAAAAGTATAGGTAGTTTGAATTAGTGATTAAGATGGCCTGTGGAAAACCGCAACGAGTTTTCCGAGCGCTGTCTTCCAAGCACCACACCGAGGTATCACATGTACCTGTCAATATAAGAGAACAACCCTTCAACCTGATCTCCAGACTGTTTCCTCAGCTCCTCATTCCTATCCTTCAGTGGCAATTACTATCCACTTTTCAAAATTACGAGTTAGACAACAGACAATTTAATGAACACTGATCCAATCAGAGAGCGATTGTTCATCACGTTGTCTATAAATAATTACCTGGGAAAACAACTCTTCAAATTCGGTGCTACTGATTCTAAGAAGCCAATTGAGATGTTTCCTTCTCATTACGTTAAGTTGCGTTTTGGTGCGTATTTTGTGGTGGTGCAATATTTCGCGTTAGCCAAAAGTGCGTTTTGACACTGATAGTACAAGGTTTGTCTATTTTATTGACACGGCTCAAATGGCTGCACGGGAATGAAGAAGAAGGAATTTAATTTCTGGGTGAAAATTATTACCATTTCCTTTCATAAGAAATATTCTTCTGAATTATCCTGTTCCTTAAGCAACTGTACGATTATTCACGTCTATCATTATCATTATAACGTTGTTTAAGGAACCATTAATAATCAATAGTCCCTGAGAGTACAAGTTTTTTCTATTTTATTTACACGGCTCAGATGGAGTAGAAGGTGATAAAGTTAGTTCCTTCCCTTTGCTAGGTTAAATTTGAAAGTAAAATTTTGTTAGCTGCCAATAGTTAACCCTTTTGTATGGGGTTCTGTTCCATCATGATGCAGGTTGGAGGGGCCGATCCATTCGTCACGCCTCTATAGTCAATCGGACAATAAATCGATGCCGTGTTGGATATCGAGACCTCTGTCATGGCAAAATTTCCCTCATTGAACACTGTCAATGCCCGTCTTTATTGTCACAATCCGAGCAGAAAGGTAATGTTAAACTCCATTTCATTTCTCTAATCACGTCATTAAATAGACGATTGTTCATTCATTCACTTCGAATAAGACAAAATATATGAACGTTACACTGGATCCGGAATGTAGGGATGTAGGCTATTTATATTAATCCATAAGTCTATGTCCACAAGTGGCAAAACTAAATGAGGTGGGCATGAAATGAGTTAAAATGCCTTCCTGGGCCATTTTAAATTGACTAACAAAGAGAGTTAAAACTAAATTTTATTCTATTTAAGAAAGACAATATTATTCAGTTAATATACATCTATATAAGAGTGTTATTGATATGATATGTAGTGATAAGACTTTTACAGATCATCATAGGTCAGTATTAGGTCAGTCTTATTAAAAAAAGACTAAACTTTCGTTCCGTTTTTTATTAGCTTACATTTTTAATTAAGCCACTTCAGTTAGGGTCTTAAGACTGGCCTCTTGAATATTTGTCCGTTTGATGATACCGCAGCCAATCGAATTCTGCCCTCTTCAACGCAAACAATAGATGTATTCCGTGACCCTAACTGAAGTGACTGAATCAAAAATATATGCTATTAAATCGGAACTATAGTTTGGTCTTATTTAAGTTATCACACTTTGATTCTTAGAAATCATTCACCCAATACCTAGGCCAGTGCTTATAGCTCTTTTATTTCAGCCTTCTAGCTATCTAACACTACCTTTCACGAGTCATTTATGGATCACAGAATGCACCGACACATAACAAAAAAATTAAAATCGAAAACTATAGATTGCAGGTTGTAGCATAGTTTTCATGCTACGATGGTTAACAGCACTTTTGATTGGATGATTAAGTTGTCACACAAAACTATTATTACCTCCGAACTCCGAACCATTAAGTGTTGGGGTGATTCGAGGTTAACACAACACTTACAGTTACGGAGAACATTTCACTATGAAAAAATAAAACAACAATTACTGAGCATTTTTACATGACTACCACAAGGCATGTTTAAGTCGGCATAATAGCAGTATCTGTTAAACCATTAAGAGCCTTCAGAGTCTTATATACTTACTCTTCTAGACACCTAATAACACTTTTTATCACGAAATATTTCCTCGTAATAACGAGTTCAATTGCTGCTATCAATGCAATGCCAAACACTTCAGTTGGGTTTCGTTTTGCCGTTCGGATCGTAAGCACCAAACTTGTCTTTTTTTTTAATGATCAAAATACAAGAGCTGTGACCAATATTTGATGAAATGATATCAGCTCATTAGCATCACGTTCTATTAAAATACGGTATATCAAAACATGTAACAAACTCTTAATTTTTTAATTAGTCTACATTAGTCGGGAGATCTGGAAGTCTATTTGAGCCAGTACTGCTTTCACCAAGGGGAGATAGCTGAGATTGTCTGAATCGTTTTGATTTTAACACTGTCATCAATGGAGATTCTGATATTAAGTTGATGCGTTCATATTTTTTACCTTGCAAACTATTGGTTGAGCATTCGCCCATGAAACAATCATTCCGAGGACTTTCTTGAGATGAAAACTTATTGTCTTTTACGCTTCTGTTACTTTTAGTGTTATCTATCAACAACGATTTATTTGGTGACGAATGAGAAGGTGATTCAATAAACGGCATTCCAGTTGGACTAAAACTGGTATCTCTGGGTGAGGTGGGACTAAAATTAACCTGTTGTGGTTGGGACCAACATGACGTCTGTCGGCTGTTGTCATTGGGACTAGACACAAGAATTGACGAAGGAACCGTCATCTCGGTATTATCTGAACCCACCGCGCCATTATCGGCACACTCGTCCACTTCAGAAAGGTTTGCTAGTCCATTAGAGTGTGCTGATTGTATAACGTCTAGTGTTGCAGGTGGAGAATTCTCTCTGCTTTGATCATTTAATGCCCGTCGCTGGTCATGACGTTTGCGAGTATTTTTCACTAAACGGAAGAATGATAAAATTGAGCGGAAACTAAATTTAGCTTGTCCTTGTTCTACTTCGTTGCTAACTACGGGCACATTTCTATCGAGATTTGCATGAAGGGGTTCGATTCTTGTCATCATTTCCATTCGTTCTCGACGTTCGCGACAAACTTTCTTTCTTTTCCGATATCTGTAGAAATCTACGGGAATGCATATTAAAAACAAAAATACTATTCCACCGACTATCAGTAATACCATGTAAGTCTTGGGTAGAATTCCTGAAATATACAAATTCTTGAATTATTTCAAGTGGGAAGCTTGTTATATTAAGTAGCCATTTTGTTCAGACATATTGAATTCAAGGACAATATTATATCCTCGAGAAAACATTTTATTGAACAGATTGTGAAACGATGTGTCAGTTACTAAGATATAGGTTATCAATCTAAGATAATGTTCATTCTTAAATGTACAAGCTGAAAACTAACAAGAATTGTGTTTAATTGTTTTCTCCTTATGTACACAGATTTATGCCACACCCCCCTTACAGGACCCTCACACAATAGCGATAACAAGTTGCATAAAGTTGCGAATTAAATATGCATTTAGTGGTCATTAGTATCTAAAGTGAACATCACACCATAGAGATGACCATGCAGTTGCGTATTGTTGCGAATAAGATTTCGAAGTTTCGAAGATTCTCATGCAACTGAGTTGTGAGTTGCCCTCGAAACTCGTGGCCGCTTTCATTATTTGCAACAATACGCAGCTGGTTATCCATATGGTGTGAGTGCACCTTAAGCGACTCGCATGCAACGAATAGGTTTCATAGGCTTAAGGTTTGCATACACACAAAGAGAAGGTCCGGGAACATTGTAATATTCTCAGCAGTGGCGGAACCAAAGGAGGCAGAGGGGGCAAGCCCCGAAAGCAAGTTTCGGGCAAAAATAAACTAGGTTAGAAATTCGGCCAATCTCAGATATTTCGCCCCCACCCCCTCCTTTCGGACGTAAACCTGGCTCCGCCACTGATTCTCTGCAGAAAACAACTAATGATATATAATATAAAACTTTACCCTCTGCAGTGCATAATGGTTCTATACCAGTCCATGATCCGTTGATACAGGTTCGTACCAGATTACCAGAATTTAAACTATAATCACCAGAACAACGATATACTGCAGACGTGTTTGTCACATACCATAAATGAGCCTTAGGAAGATCACGTGGTAAATTTTTGCATCCACTGACTGAAAAAGAAGAAGATGTAAAGTTAAAAAGTAAGCTTACGATAGCGGATGTTTAGTGGAAGGTTAAGACTTATTAATGTCCTCAGGTTTTTATTGGATTGTAGAGGAACGGAGCATTGGGTTGTTATTATGTAAAAAGATTTATTTGAAATTGAGCTGGTAATTATGGCTTCACAAAACATGTAGGCTACAAACGAATTTTGAAAAAGCTTAAATGTTTCATCTGACCTATGATATTAATCTTCTTATCTTATATAAATTATCGTGTATGTTAAAATTATTCCATCAAATATTTAAACACTAGCAATTTCATTAAAATACATTAATAGATCGTTATAACATTCAGGTTTTAATAAAACTCCAAAGCGACGACGAGCATAAAAGATAACTTAGGTCGTCAGAAATGAGCAGCATGTTTCAAAACAACTTGAAATTGACAAGGAATGAATAAAAGATAATCAATGATAAAGTATGGTATTCGTTTTATGCCAAGCACATCTCGACCTCAAGATCTAGTACATGACGTCAAGAAAACTCTATGAGGTTATTACCATTTCAAGTTGTAATTGCTATGGAAAATGGTTAAATTCGAGAAAAATGTAAAGTTTGAACAATTTAGACATTTAGTCTGCATGAAAAGTCACGTCTTATTCCAATTCGCGTCAATCAAAGACGACTGTGTAATGCTTCTTTTTAAAAAGGAAAAAATCCATTAGAAAAATTGTTGGTAATATTAAGTGTAACTAATGCAGTAATTGATTTATATTTTCTGCATAAATGAATCTTTTCTTAATAGGCAAGTTATGGATGTTTTCTGATCTATTCGGGAAAATATCATTATAATCCAAGGTGATAAAACTTATAATCATTGATACTGGGGGATACCTGCGAACACCATTGCGGGAACTTTTCAACCTCTACTCTTGAACAATATTAACAGGCACACTTTATTTTCCTTTGGTGTGTGGAGGAGTAGCCTACTAAGGCCATCTGAAACACCATGCAGTGTACAATGAGAGGACAGTGACAAAGCCTATTCTTTTTCGGTTTCCCACTGTCGAGAGATCTTTAACTGAGAAACACACAGGGCCGTGGTTTATGTCTAGACACCTCTTCCAAGTCAACCGAATCACTGTCAATTACGAAGGATTATCTCAAAATTTATATCAAAAAATAGATTGCACAATGGCAAGATGAGTGGCCTGTATAGTTTTGTTATGGTAGTTATAGTAGTTATGGTAGGCACTGGATGTTTGATCTCAGCTTGCAAGCATATTCAAGGTCGTGATAATATCAAAATAACCTCACTACAATAGGCAACCTTATAACAATTATCGTCAGAAGAGAATTAAATTGAACATGCAAAATGACAACACTTGACTTCTCATATATAAATTGAAAAGCCAACGATTTCTGCAGCACTGAGTTAAATGAGACTAAAAGAATGGTGAGAAATGGCAACATTCTTGTACGCTGAATTTAAATGTCAAATAAAGAATGAAAAAAACTTTGGAGTAAAGTAAGCGTTATATATACTGTGATATAATCACCTATTGTCTGAGCAAAGTAAAAAGTTTTTTGAATTAAATCCATTATTTTTATGAGAGTTGGAATAACCAGCTCAAATTAGCACGGTTTTCTTAAAATGTATTTGCGTTGATAAAACTATAAACATAAGCCCACATAATCTCTTCAAAATTTGTTTTTACAGAGCCCCTTTTGTGACTTTTTGGGTTGAAATTTCCAGGAGGAAAACGTGTTTCTTTACAATGTACACTTAGAAAATTCTTAATTTTTTATCAAATCTTTAAAAATGTTAGAAAAAAATTCAAAATTTTTTTTACTCTGCTTAGACAGTTCTATACGATTGAGAAAGAATTCGAATCTCTCTGAAATTTCACACGGAATATTTCACTCAGTTCTAAAGTCAAATCATGAAAACGGAAACCAAATGGCTGTATACAATGAAATATAATTTATTTGTTCGCATGCTGAATATATTCTGGAACATAAACTAGTCTGATGTCGTAATCGTTCCCCAGATTTCACTGGTTTTTCTATCCTAGAGGAAATTGGGAGTCGCTGATTTCTGAATAAACGGAAATTTGAACTTGATCTGTTGAATAATTATAGAGAGCATAAATGATAACACGGAATCGTCTTGATCTATTGAATTCTAAATAGATTACCGTTTACAGCGACATGCATTATTGAAATGAAATATATTTCCATTGAGAATGGAAAGGCTATTGGTTTAGATCCAGAACTAATTCCTTTCTGTATGAGATGATATCCAATACTAATTAATTGTACATATTCGTATATATCCAACAGTTAGTCATGGTTATATCATCTTCACCCATCACATTTTTATAATGTCAAGCTATATACGAACTTAGTACTTATGCTTTGACTGCAGTTACCTTTCTCGTATCATGGCAGTTTGTAAATAAAGCAAATTGTTGGACTGTTCGCTATGAATACTGCTAATCAGAGACCTCGACAGAAAGTCTGTGAGCACAGAGCACAGAGCACAAAGCCATAATGTTTACAGCCATTTTATCGAGGGCTATGTTAGGCTGTATTTGCTGGTAAACATCAAGGTATAAGTACGATGTTCGTTATTTGTTTTACAATGTAAAGGCTGTACAAAACCATTCTACATTTGACCTTTGATACATAGTGAAATTAATAAAATTAACAACAATATTTTGCATATAAAAAATTCCAAAGAAATGCAGTGGACCAGCAAAGGATATCCCTAACACTACACCGATAGAGCCAACCCTATTCATTCAGATTATCGAAAAAATATAAAAATTTAATTCAATTGTCTGTGTATAGCGTTAATTTCATTAGCTTGATTGGTTTTCTTATAAGATGTACTTCTTGTAGCTAGATTTATATTTACACGCGAAAAAATAAAGGAACAGTCCTCAGTTAAATCGAGAGGTAAATATAGGTACTCTTTGTCCTACCCAAACAAAACACAGCTCGGCCCGGCATCCCACCTAAGGATGCATAGAATTGCCACAGAAACTATCACTTCTTTCTGAGATAAAAACAATACGTCAAATGAATTACACACGAACTATAAGTTGGGTAAAGGAAGGGAAGTGAACTCAGGGATGTATAAGGGTGGCCAAAATTAAGCCAGACGTGAAGTGAATGGTACAGAACGATTCTCTTTAAGAATGAATGTCGTCATTGGCAATTGGAGACATAATGATCTGAAAAAGGATTCCAAGCTGATAACTTGCATTAAGTTCTTCATCCTGATAATGTCAGAGATAGCCTCCGGCAACATTATTATATCTAATCGAAAAGCAATTATACAACCAGATTGGTAATTAGTCTATATGTTAAAATACTGCGGAAGGATATAGTGTATTAGTGAGTAGTTAGCCGGAAGGTATTTGATGAAAAATATAGATATTTACAATATTGAACAGTCCAGTGTTGTTCATTAAGAATATTAATTAAGAAACATATTACCTATGAATTGTTATGAGTGATTATATCCACGTAATATTACTAATTAATTAATCTTTCAAAGACAACCGAAATAACGTCATTCTTTAGCCTATGAAACATGTATTTTAGAAAAATAATTCTTAAAAGCCTTTTCAAATAAAAAACTTTACTCATGATAAGTTTAGTATTCTCGTCATCTGATTGGGCAATCACTCAAATTGATTTTGAATGCAGTTCCTTTATCCAATCTATATTTCTTAAAATCTGAATTTTAATTTAGTGAAGTTTTCGATAATAAGGCCCCAGTTCGACGTAACCAAGCAAATGGCGTCACGTCAAGATTCCAACACCCTAACCGATTGTGCTACAGAACCAGGCCTATTTCTCTGATGTCAAAGAGTTTGTGTATGTTTTCCAATATGTCAACTTGGTTTCCTCAGTTCAGATGAAAAATGTCAAATGTTGTTTATTCATCTACAGTTGCATAAAGACTAGTAGGCCAATGTCCGGGATAATTTTCCGCATTGGCAGCAGCATGACGTTAAACATCGTCATTAATAAAATAACGATCAGAAGCTTCATTTGATTTCACAATATATTCCATTTTATGTAGTGTATTATGCCTTTGATTACTTAGAGGAAATAATCCTGAAGCTAAACGAATATATAATATTACTATAGATTCGACTGATAAGATTAAGTATTAATAATTTATATAACTTTATATATCATATTCACTATCATTATGTAATGGATCGTTGTATGACGAATCTGTAAGGGCTTCTGCTTACTTGGGAAACCTAATTAGTAAATTAATAGAAATAAAAACGGTCATATAATATAAAAAGCAAATAATTATTAGGGGCGATAACTGGAAAAGAATCTTTTTATCTAAGTGTTGTTTGTCAGGCCTACCACTAATATATTTTTTGCTCAGGACTTTAAAACACAGTTACAAATATCCCCTAAAAACTTTCAAACTGTTCCAGGTGAAGCCGAAATGGAAAGTTTATAAATAATTAAATTCGAGCAGTAATATCTTAGAGAAAGACAACTTCCTCTTTCATTGCCCCCACTTCATGTCACTTATGACCTTGACTTCTAGTCACTTATAACCTCCACTTCTAGTCACTCATGACCTTGACCTCTTGTCATTTATGACCTTGACTTCTTGTCACTTATGACATTGACCTCTTGTCATTTATGACCTTGACTTCTTGTCACTTTGGACGTAGATTTCTTGTCACTTTTGACTTCTAGTCACTTATGACCTTGACTTCTAGTCACTTATGACTTAACTTTAGGGCACTTATGACCTAGACTTCTTGTCTCTTATGACCTTGATTTCTTGTCTCTTATGACCTTGACTTCTAGACATTTATGAACTTGACTTCTTAATTTGAACATTGGATGGTTTACAAGCCATAACCAAATAAAATAGGATTCGGCCGTAGTCATTTGCAAAAATTCTTAAAACATTTTGACGAAGAAAAAGTTCAAAAGAAAAATTTTATAGTGAATAAAATAAACGCATGAATAATGACAGGTTGTGGCATTGATATCTTTAAGAACTATACCATTGAAACTAAGGAAACGGGAAACTATTCGATCTTGTGGCACAAATCAGTCTGACAGTGAATTACCAGCAATTAAATACTTCACATTTATAATTGGGTATAATTGTAACATGAAATAGAAGGTCTCAGAGATAAGGGTTTATCAGTATATTCCGGTACCGATATTAACTTCCTATCAAGAATACTAGTTATATCTAGGCAATATGTTGGCCAGAGATATGAATCTATAATTGTCATTGGAAACTCATCGATCACAATGCTGTTGCCGTATTGCTAAACGAACCCGACTATCAGAGGAACAGAAATGAAACATTCGCTACGGAGTATCATATTGACAAATAATGTGGCTTGCATTGCGAAAATCATTCAACAACCCATTTGGAATTTCAAAATTGATAAATAAGACATTTCAAAACTATCATATTGTGTTATGTAATAATTTGACATTTCCTTGTTTAGCAGCAGAGGCCTTCTGAAAGGAATAAACGTGAATAAACCCTTAATGACATTTATAAACGCATATAATTAACCAATTAAAATGGCTTTAATAAATGTATTATTGGTAAAATCTTCCGGCCATGGCATCCGACTTTTTCTTTCATCATTCTACACAGATTTCATATTTTATAACATCAAAATCTAGACAAGATACGAATGTTTTCTATCAATCAACATACTTTAACCTCGAGACGGTCATCAAACAAAATGGAGTTTTTGAATAACGTCCTATTAGTCCTTCCCCAAATGTTGAGAAAATGGTCACTTTTGCCATCCGTTTGACCAATTGCACTTCATTCTCCGGAACGGGGTTTTATTTCTCTAAGCTAATCAGTTACAGTGTTTACAG